TCATGGTCCAATGCTACAGAGAAATGTATTTTGTGTAAAGTGTATCTACCACAATACATCATTGAACTCCCCCGAAATTTTTCTTTGAGGGCCTATTATTTTCCGCTTTTTTCTTTCTCGATACCTTGAAACATCCAATTTTTCAAGATAAATTAAGAACAACCTGGATAGATATTTTAGAAATTTTAGAAACCGCTCGCCAGAGTTGTATAATTTTTTTTTGGTACTAAAAACTGCTGTTTCAGAAGGCTTCAGAATTTGAAACTTCTTGTGACATGCTTAGAAAGAAGGAATCCCATATTTCAATTGAAATATAGAGTTTGGAGAGACGCAGACAATTAGAGTGTCTCGCTATCTGCGTCTCTAACCTCCAAGCTTCAAAATGCTTATATCTAGTGTCATAGAAGTTGTAGAAATGTGATGTTTAGACAGAAATGTGCAAAACATTATGGATTTTCTGAAAGTCAAAAATCCATATTTTCCATTGAAAAACTTTTCATTGTTTTTTTGCATTATTACATCCAGGTTGATAAATTAACAACTGTTTTGTTAGAATTCTGTAATTCTTATCATCTATTTGGGTTTTCAGGTCCAAACCAAAATTCGCAGTGATCAACATGGAGGAGAATCAGAGTGTCGATGCGATTGGATTGACAAAAACTTTGGTGAGAGTTCCGTCAACTTTGAGGCCATATATCTCGGTTCCTGTAAAGATGTCAAAAAGTTGTCACCTGGTAAAATGTTTGTCATATTATGTTCAAATTTTGTCAGTTTACAACTTATTTTAATATTAAAATATCTTTTGAAAGAACCGAGATGTATGGGCTCAAAGTGAACATGTTCGCGCTTGCAACGCGGCGGGCTGCGTCCGTTTTAACCTTGAGCCAACTTTTCTCAATTTCTGTATCAAAGTGTTGTCAACTGATAATATGTTTTTGATAATATGATAAATATTTTGTCAGTGAATTACTTTTTGATATCTTCTAAATGAACTGAACTCAAATTTTGGCGGGGCTCTTCTATCACAGGTTTTCGCGGTGTTTCGACTTTATAACAATTTTTCAAAGTTTTACAGTTCGGTCAAGGTGTCAAAAACGTTCGATTTTGTGATGATATCTCAAAACTTCCGGAGGTTCAAGCCATGCTGAAAATGCACAAAAATGAGTTAGGACAGTTGAATCCAGTTAATGGAAATGGAGCTCATGTAGAGGAGCCAAAAATGGAAGTAAAAGTTGAAGAAACTAAGGTTGAGGAGAAGGTTGAAGAGAACAAAGAACAGAACGATCTAATACAGGTGAGAATAGAGGACTCTGAAAATTATATATTCTAAAAAATTCGAAATTTTTTCAGACCCCTGCAGTTCCCACTCCATCCCTCACCCACCCAGATTTCGATCCCCTAAAAATCCCAAACATTCTCAATTTTTTACAAAAAGTTCCAAACGATTTTTTCACTCCGATGCTCCACCAAACCGTCCATTCTCCATCTCCAACTCAATCGGAAGTTGGTGGTAAAAGAAGGCCAGGCGAGAAGGATAAACCGTTGCCAGAGGAGTTTCTAACCTGCGTTTCATGCCCTGCCAGAATTCAAATTTCCAAAGAATCAACGATCCGTGCTCATGTGAAGACCCATTTGGGGATTCGGGCTTTTAAATGTACAGATTGTTCGTTTGGGAGCGAATCTTGGAAGACGGTAAGTGTCTTGGGTTTTGAAAAATGATCGCTGATTCAGGCTTTGTTTTTTTTTTTTGAAAAAGAAAATCAAAAAAGAGCATTTCAGAATACCGTAAAAATTCTAAATGAAGGTCACCCAATCTGTAAACTTGGAGCCCTGACAAAATGTTCATTATAATATCAGAAATATTTTGTCAGTTGACTACTTTTTGATACCTTTCACAGGAAGCGAGATATATGGGAAGCATGATAATGTGATAAGCTAGATGTATATAATTCATTGTCGTTATCAATCTTTGACACAGGCCACTTGCGGCAAGCGTCTGTGTGTTTGTTGTCATTACTATCAAGTAGCAGTTCTAAACAAGCATCGGTGGTTCAGTGGTAGAATGCTCGCCTGCCACGCGGGCGGCCCGGGTTCGATTCCCGGTCGATGCAATTCTTTTTTTTCGGAACATGAAATCAAGAAGGGTCTTTTCAGAATTGAGGCTTTAAAAAAATGTTCACAGTGGCTTTAAGTTGAGCTTCTAACATCCCTAACTTATTTTCTTCAGGTTATGAGTCACATGCAAACCGTACATCAAAATTACGGACAACCTGCTAATGAGGAGAAGGAAAGAGAACAGGATCTCAAGATTTGGACGGATAAACTCTTTCCTGGACGATTCCTCCAAATGGAAATATTGCGGACCGCCCAGATGAGAAAGAATATTTTGAAGGGAAATGTACAAAATGGGATGAATTCTCAGACTGCTCAATTAATGGCTCAAAAGTTGGTACAAGAGATAAAAGGGAAGGAGGAGGAGAAAAAGCAGGCCACAATCCTTAGCCCTGCCCAGTTCCTGACAACTATGAATGAAGAAATTCAGAAAATGCTCAGGGTGAGTTTTGGCAAGTTCGCTTCAATGACAATAAATTACTTAGGAGGCATCTGCTGTACAGGAACCTGCTCAAAAAATGCCGCCAGTCAAAAAGTACAAATGCACATTGTGCACCAAAGAAATCAAATGCTATTCTGGCTACGAACTTCCATCTGATGGTCCATTATCCCGCCATCTTCGTAACCATCATAAAGAGGATTTAGTGGCATATGAGTGTGAAAAATGTGGATGGAAGAGTGAAATGGAGGTTTGAAGAAATTTGTGCGCACATAAAATGCTTGAGTTTTCAGTTCAAAGTCCGCCGTCACATAGCTTATAGACATTGGGATGCTGCTCGTAAATTGAAGGCGTTGCCGAGTAGGAGAAGTGGAAATTGGAAGTTGTATTTGAAGAAGTATTTCGGAGAACTCGTCCAGAACAGAAGTAAGTTAGAATCTAGACTTCTATCGGCGGTCGGTCAGCGGTTGGTCGGCGGTTGGTCGCGGTCGGTCGGCGGTCAGTCAGACAGTGGTCGGTAGTCGGTCGGCGGTCGGTCACCTGGCAGTCGCCGGTCGGTTAGTGGCCGGTCGGCGGTCGATTTTTGACCGACCACAAGGAAAGCTTCAAGCTACTATAGTTACTGCCTGGCTCATTTTCCTTAATTTTTTTTCCCCAAAAGTGCACTTTCAGTTCTTGAACTCGATGAAGAAGAGGTGAAAAACGATAAAATGGATAAGGACAAAACGACATGGTGCAGTATGGAAATGCAACGAACTTTCGGCATTCCAATGGATTCCAATTGGCAGCCGCCGTACAAAAAATTCAAGGGAAACGAGGAGGAAACGGTGACAATTGAGTAGAAGAAAACCTGTGTAATTTTTAAAATTGTGTTTTAAGAGTCGATTTTTCATGTGATTTTTTATTGATTGTGAGTAATAAATTCATTTTTTGGAACTTCATTTACGTCTTGGGACATAAAGAATCCCATCGCTGAGAATCGATATTTCATCCAGATTTGTTTCTACGACGACGTCTTCTGGATCCTCAAATGGAAAGTATTCTTGGGAATAGTGGAATCTGGAAATGACGAAATCCAGATATTGAAATTTTCGTTATTTCGAATTTCAGAATCTGAGAATCTCAAAATCTGACAAATCTAAAAAACCTACTTTGACCAATTCTCAGTGTTGTCTGCCATTTGGCTCAATTTTCGATTCCGTTTCTCGAACAAAAGTCTGAAAAAATTTTAGAAAATTCCAGAACCAAAACTCTCTTTTCTATACAAAACCAACAAAAAAACTTACACAACAAAGGCAACTATTCCGATCAAACTACATGCACCCAACACAACCAAACTGATCAAAAAGACCTTAGTGAATTTCCATGAATCCTTTGTGTCCACAATGACAGTATCCCGAATGGCATGGTACAAAGAAAATGGGCATGTGAAAATGACGTTGGCTCCATGAAGTACGGAATTGTAGGTCAGGTTTCCTAAATGCGCTCTATTGAGAATTACTTGAGAATATCTATTAATTACCGTATTTGCTCTAATAGAGGCGAACCTAAGCCATTCAACTTTGAACTCAATTACCTCGATTCCTGTAAAAGATACCGAAAACTTGTTAACTGAGAAAATATCAGTGACATTATGAGAGACAATTTATTAGTTGCAATATTGTAGATACCTTTCACATTAATCGAGACAATTGAGCTCAATTGAATGGTTTGGGTGGGCTTCCATTAGAAGAATACAGTAATACATTTACCTGACATCTTGATTACCAACCGATTTCCCATATCACACCATTTTTGGGTCATTTCAGAGATACAGTAATTCGCAGACCAAGTTTGATGAATCTGAAGTTTTTGGTTGTCTAAAAATTATTGATTTACAGTACCCGTCAATAAGATGTGCAATAACATTTTTTTCAATGGTTTTTCGGTATTTTCAGAATTCTGAAGCTCGGCAATCATGTATTCGATCATTTTGAAATTTTCGAAAAGTGTAAAACAGATCTAAATTAGAAAGTTTGCAGTCATAGAATTTTTCTAATGTTTCTAGTTTTTCAGCTATTTGCCAATTTCAGTCACACCTTTTTTCCTATTTTCATTTCAAAAATAGGTAAAAATGGTGCCCTTCTGAAATCGGCGAATACCTGGAAAAATAGGAACTTTCAAAAAACTCTGTGAATGCAAAATTTCCAATCTAGGTCTTGTTTATACCCTCCTGAATTTTCAAAGTTATTGGAAACTTGACAGCCTAGCACCAGATTTCTGAAAATGCCAAGAATATACTGAAAAATAGGTTTTGTATATTTAACTAACCGGTACTGTATGTTTAGTGAGCAAGACTCTGGCACAGCCTTTGGTTTTGACTTGGCCCGAAAAAACCGCGGCTGGCCGTGGCCGCGGTCGGCCGAACTCACCTGTGCAGAATTTTTTACATAATAGGATTCCTTGTGAATTGAAAACCATTCGTTGCTTTTGTTTCCACATTTTTTCAAATGAACTTCAAGATGAATTACTGATCCAACTTTTTGCTTACCAGATTTTTGGATTTCAGATTCGACGCTGAAAATATTTTTTAAAGATTCTGAAATCCCAAAAAATCAAGTTCGCGTTTTAAAAAACTTACAAATTGGCTGCTGCAAAGGATAATTCCTTTTTTGCCATCTCCCTTTCATAGATCAAATTCCAACTTTCGAAATACTCCTTCCATGTGTAATTGGCATTCTTCGGGAGATTTTTCATCATTCTAAAAAATGACCTCTTATTTAAAAAACCCATTTTTCTAGCCTACATCATGGTTCGATTCCTCTGAAGCCAGTTTTTATAGTAATCGAAATCCGGCTCTTCGATTTTCAGAGCAATCGAAATCTTTTGAATAACGAAAACTAGAAACAAAAGGGAGAATTCTCTCATTTTTGCAAAACGAGCGATTTGAAAATGAATGAAAAGAGAGCGAGGAGAGAAACTTTTGTAGAGGTTGTATGAGCAATACGGTTAATGGGATTCTAAGGTCACACGATGTGTATTTGAAATGTAGAGAATGTCATGAACAGTTTCTGTAGATGAAAAACTATATTGCAAAGAAAAAAAGAAAAGAAACAATAGATACAAAAGCTTCTTGCAATTCTTTGGAAATGACTCAGATGGTGTTTTTCTATATTACTTTTCTTGCTCTCGGAAAGTTCCAGGAAAAATATATAAGATCAATAGTTTGTGCAAATCATCAAATGAGTTTTGTTCTTATGTACAATGCCGGTCAATGAGATAATCAAATGCAGTATTTTTCAGTTGATTTTCCGTTTCCTGAAGGACTTATTTAAATTAAATTGTAATCTATGTGTTTAAGCAACTCTTGATACGCGTTCTCTGCAATTTTGAATTAGTTCAGATCATTTTTAGGCAAATTGTGGCCCACCAGTCGATCCATCGTTTTTTGCTCCAAACACCATAACTTATGAGTCCCTTATCCAAAAAGCACAAGATTTCCGCACTGCTTAGTAAAATTGCTGCACACATTAATTCAATAATCCATTTATTTTTTGAATTTTGAAACCACTTCTGCATATGAAATTATCCAAGAAATTCGGCAAACTTCCAGTTATCAGAAATCTTATCCTCCTCTTGAACAAAGTTATCCTATTTTCTCTTAGAAGCCTACTCAATACATGAACATTGAGCGCAATTATCTCAGATCCTTCATGAGATATAAAAAATTTGTTAACTGATAAAATATTTCTGATGTCATGATAAACACTTTATCAGTTAACTTTTTTCTGATTTAACTTGAAGGAATCGAGATAATTGACCTCAAAGTGTACGCAAAGGGTTAGCTAATAAAAAAGTACGGTAATCTGTGATTGACAAAAAAGACTCATACATATATATTGGATGAGTTTGAACAAATTAAGAAATCAATAGAACAACTGATCCATTCCTCGCTATCAAATTTTTTAAAAATCCGGTTCTTATCAAAGTACAATAATTTTTCATTTGGACACTTTTTTGGAAACTTTTATTTTCATTTTTAGAAGTTTGGAGAGACAACATTGCCTAGTAGGAACATTTGCTCGATTAAAAAACTTCATTACTTTAGAAAAAATATAAAAATTCGAAAAACGTCCAATTATTCTTCTCTTCTCTCTGTCTACTTCATGTTCTTGGCATAAGCCTGTGCAGCCTCACAGCATTCTCCATCAGCAACAGCCAATGCTCCATCGAAGCACATTCCACCGAGAGCTGGTCCAACAGACTCACCACGGCAAGCGTATGAGTCAATGTCTGGAATTTCATTTTAGATATAAGCTCATTATTTGGAGCTAACCATAGACATCAGCCTTGTCACAGCAGTTGAATCCTCCTCCAACGGCAACTTGTCCTTCTGGACATTTTCCATCGACAGAGTAGTTGGATTGAGATTTGCACCCGAGGTTGGCGGCTTCTGAAATTTTAAATTTGATTTGAATTCTGCGAGAGAAACCTTACCAGTAGCCAAAACGAGGAGAAGAGCAGAAATAGCGAGAACCTTGAACATTTTCTACTGGATTGTTGTCCTTTTCAGGAGTTGAATGTGATTTTTATCTTTTCCCTAGTCCCCTTTTATACCGGGAAACCCCTAGATTTTTGATTTCATTTTCCCCCCAAAACCGATACCAAAAAATTCCAAAGCTGAGTAAATATTGTATACGAGACATATCCAAAGAAATTATGGTGCGGATCCAACTACTGTAGATACACACAAACCATGATATATTTTGAGCTTTGGTTGGTATGGATCTAAAAAAGCGTCTAAAAAGCGGGGGATGATATATTGACACAGATTTTTTGAATCAAGGAAACCATGGTATTCTGTGTATTGAACACATTTTTGTGTAATCAAAAATCTTTGTAAATCGTCAATTACAAAAGAAGCAGAAGGGTCAGAAGAAATGTATTCTATTTCTGAAATCTAGGAAGTTTCCTGGTATAAAAAGGGAGTTGGGAAAATATAAAAATCATATTGAACTCCTGAAAAAGACAACAATCTAGTAGAAAATGTTCAAGGTTATTGCCATCTCCGCTCTTTTCTGCGTTTTGGCTACTGGTAAGATTTGGAATCATAAAACGCCCAATTTGAAATTGTTTTGAATTTTCCAGAAGCCGCCAACCTCGGATGCAAATCTAAATCCAACTACTCTGTTGATGGAAAATGTCCAGAAGGACAAGTTGCCGTTGGAGGAGGATTCAACTGCTGTGACAAAGCAGATGCCTATGGTTTGCTCCAAATAATGTTTTTTTTTTCTAAAGTGAGATTCTAGACATTGACTCATATGCTTGTCGTGGTGAGTCTTTTGGACCAGCACTCGGTGGAACGTGCTTCGATGGAGCATTGGCTGTTGCTGATGATGAATGCTGTGAAGCTGCACAGGCTTATGCCAAGAACAAGAAGTAGACAGAGAGATGGATACTTGGATTTTTTTGATGTCAAAAATGTTGATTTTTTGAAAGTAATGAAGTTTTTATAATTGAGCAATTGTCCCACTACAAAAGAACATGAGTTCCTTCTCAAAAAATCTGAAAGATCCGAGGTTCCAAAGTTCTCGAAAATTTCCCAGATAGTAATAAGCAATAATGAAACCCGTAAAAATGATTTTTAAAAATTAGCTTGTGAATGAATTTTTGAAATTGTACCCTTTTCCAGTAGACAGTGCGATCCACTATTCCATGTCCAAGATGTCCAAAAAAATACCGTAAAGACTCTGCGAAGAATGGCTTAAAATTTGAGTGCTCAAATTTTCAGAATGTTCTCAAAGGACCTTTTAGAACGGTCCCCTGTCTAGACCTATTTTTTAAGCCAAAAAATTCAGGTTGATACTCTCATAAAGTTTCACTGGTGCTAACTATTTCAATATCTCTTTTACGAAAGTAAATACCTTAAACACTCTAATAGAACGAAACTCAGAAACTTTCAACTTTGACCTCAGTTTTCTCGGTTCCTGTCAAATATTTCGAGAAGTGCTCAACTGATAAAATATTTTTGATAATATGATAAACATTTTGTTAGTTGACTACTTTTTCATAACTTTTACAGAAAATGAGATATCTGGGCTTAAAGTTGACGATTTTGGGGCATTCGGGTGTTTAAGGTAATTGGCCTCAGTCCCTAGGAAATAACCTTTTTAATTTCTCGCAGAATACTCATCTCTACATTCTAGGAATCATTCTCTGTACTTCGGCTACACATCATCATCATCATTATAAATAATATTGTGTTATTTCATATTCGTATACTTTTTTCTTCCTTTCTTTCATCGTTTCTATTTTACTATGAATAGAGAACTCATCTAGATACAGAGGCACATAAAAAGCGAGAAAGAAAAAAGCAATCAACCTAGAGACACATTTTGTTCCCTCCCTCTCTTTCCCCACCCCCCCCCCCCATTTTTTGTCCATTCGTGGGTCCCCGGGGCGTCGGCACGTGGCACATCGTAAGGACCACTATACTCTAGGAGCCTCTATATGGTTGTCTGGGTCTTAGTCTTAAACACTCTCTCATTTTGAATGTTGCCAAAAGAAGGGCGCTGTGAGGGAGAAATGGGAGGGAGAAACGAATTTTTGTTTATGTCGTTTTCGTGGGTTCGGACCTTCTTTTTTTGTTTGACTCATTTTTCTTTTTCGAAGGTTTTGGAGAAGGTGCCTACAGTAATCCCAATCCGAAAGTTTTATCATAGAATTGCAGAATCTCAGAATATCAGAATCTCAGAATCTCAGAATCTCAGAATCTCAGAATCTCAGAATTTTTAAATTTCTGAATCTCAGAATCTCAGAAACTCAGAAGCTTGGAACATCGGAATCTTGGAACATCGGAATTTCAGAATCTCAGATTTTTTTTTCAGAAAATTTCAGAATCTCAGATTTCATACCAAAAATAACCCTATCCTCTTTTTCAAACATTTTCAATTTCCACGTATTCTCTCTTTTTTCACCACCATCAGACTAATCTTTTTGGGATTAGAGGGCATGAAAGCAATTATTCTGTCTCCTCCTCCCACCAATTCAGTTACAATTTTTTGGTTTTTTTATTATTTTCCAGTGTAAATAGTTTAAATGTTTTTATGGTGGCAGGGAAAAATAGAACTGAACTCAATTTGTAATTGTTGAATTCCTTCAGAAATAGAAAGCATACGGAAGAGTTGGCCTTAGTACCCCCAAAAAAATACTTTTTAACTGGAGGAAGCCTACACAGTGCGTACTCTTTGAAATCAATTATCTCAGTTCCTTTGAGAGGTAACAAAATAATTCTGTCAACTGAAAAATATTGATGACACTATGATGAATAATTTCAGTTGAAAACTTTTTCATATCTCACTAGGGAAGGTTGTAACTACACCACACTTCGCTGGATTCCTCCCTTCTCCCAATGCGTATAAGAAAGAGGGAAGATGAGGCGCTCGGCGGACTCAAATTTGAGCCAAATTTCAAACCTGTTTTTCTCGAAACTGGTGAGCTCGCAGCAAAATCTGAATATAGATTTGAAAATGTCTCATTCTCAGCTTTCGAATGATATAGGTCTCTTATCGAATTCCCATACCCCAGTTACAACCTTCCCTAGTCAGACAAGAACTGAGATAATTGAGCTCAAACACATTATCAATTTTTACCAAGATCACTGTAGAAACTGTAAAAAAGTACCATATCACTATCAACTTTAACCCAATATAGCTCTGTTCCTATGAGAGATATAAAAAAATTTATCAACTGATAAAACTTGGATAATTTGATGATAAACAATTTATCAGTTGACATATTTTTGATATCTCTCATAGGAACCGCGATAAATTAAATCAAAGTGGACAGCTCTAAAAATCGACACCCTCCAATCAGTGATGTGGCAAAACCATCATATACAGATCATACTATTTTCGTTTTCTATCTTTTCCTTTTTTTCTCTTTTTTGTGTGTCTCGTGATCAATCAAAAAAGATATAATAGTTCTCTTATATGTTTCATCAATAATTTTATTTCAAAATCATTTTCGGCGTAGAATCTAGCTGAATTTTTTAATTTTTTGAGTGTTTCCATGCTTGAAAAAGATCTTGAACCCAACTTCAACCAGTTTTTGACAGTGAAAATTTTCGGAAACTTTTCAAAATGAATTATTTTCAGCTGAAAATCATGTTTCTAGGGTACATTCACATTTTCTGGATTATTTTCTGGATTACTACGACACCAATTTCTATAACCCCTAATCTTCAAATTCCAATATTTATCCCTCAAAGAGAATAAGAGACGAGATGAAAATAATTTATAAACATATAAATAACTGAAAAACTAGAAAAAAAAATGAGGACCGGAGAGGGAAATAAATGTTTTAGTCTTGGTTTCTGAAATTCCGAAATTCTAAATTTCCAATATTCTAAAATTCTGGTATTCTGAGATTTTTAGATTCTGAGATTCTGAGATTCTGAGATTCTGAGATTCTGAGATTCTGAGATTCTGATATTCTGAGATTCTGATGTTCTGAGATTCTGATATTCTGATATTCTGAGATTTTGAGATTCTGAGATTCTGAGATTCTGAGGTTCTGAGATTCTGAAATTCCGATGTTCCAAGATTTTGAGGTTCTGAGATTCTGAGGTCCTGAGATTCTGTGATTCTGAGATTCTGAAATTCCGATGTTCCAAGATTTTGAGGTTCTGAGATTCTGAGGTTCTGAAGTTCTGAGTTTCTGAGATTCTGAAATACTGAGATTCTAAGATTCTAAGAGTGTAAGATTCTAAGATTCTGAAATACTGATAGTCAGATCCTGAAATTCTGAAACACCAAGATTCTGAAATATTGAGATCCTGAAATTTTGGTTAACACTTTTTGTATCTAGTCTGCTCCCATAGCATCTTTAAAAACCAAACCCAATTTCGTATTCGTTCGTCCAAGAGGTTCTTTTTGCTCTGCTTTTTTTCTACAAAAAATATTTTTCTCACACTTTGAAACGTCTTTTTTTCAAAAATTGTTGAATAATGCCAGCGAATCATGGCCTGAAATCATCAGATTTCTTTCAGGTACTTCAGGTACACTACCTGCAAAAATGTAGGATACTGTAATTTTTAGAACTTTTATTTGATAAAGATTCGGAATTTTAAAGGTGGTGTACGGTGAAATTTTTTATTGCATCAAAATGTGCAGAAATGCATGTAGATTGACATAAAAATAAAGAAAAAATTCGAAAAAAATTCCTTCATCGAGAAAAACGCATCGAAAAATACGCTGAAAGCCCTTAGGGACGAGGTTTTTTCTAGGCCGCCCGGTGAGTAAAAGCGCGCGAATTCG